TTTGGTTTTTCTCCGGTACCAGGAACCGAACTCACGACCTTGCGCTTGCCAGGCAGGCGCTTTGCCGCTGAGCTAAATCCCCAGCCCCCCGCCTAATCTTTGGAAGTGACTCATGACCAAAGCAGCCTTCCCAGGTGAGCCACCGGGAGTGGCTGCTATCTTAACTTTGAAATATCAATTAGATCATTTGATATGAGGATCTAGAAAGTACTGTGACATTCTGATGTTGTATTACTGCATGCCATTTGATTAATTTGTAGCTGTTCATAAGAATCATTGAATGTTCACTCTCTGTATGGAAAACCCACATAGGTGTAGGTAGTTTCCTGGGAAGTTATTTTATGTGAATTATCGGAAGGCAGTTATGCTAGCTCTGGACCAGTCTCCTCTATGTTTGCCCTATAGCTGTTTGGCACACATGCATTTAATCATAGTGGGTTAGCAGGGCAAATTACCTAATTATGGATGGTTGAACCCATTAGAGTAAGTTTTTTACTCCACTAAGGTCTCAGTTTTCTACTTTGACATTTAGCTTTTATTGGTTCCATTCACTGTGGCCTGATTGTTAAGAAAGATTACTAAATATTATAAATTCCATGTCCACCATTGACATCAAGGTAGAAATTTATAAGTCAATCTACACAACTCCGAAAAACTTACATGGAGAACAATGGTATTTCTTACATATTGTGGTAAAATAATGCAGTTATTGAGAAGAACATCAGAATAGAATGTACTCTCTCAGCTTGACTTCTTTTAGTCATGTTACCTATGTAACACACCTGAATTTTTACCCCACGCTACTCTTTTCTATCTTTGAAGACTGGCTGCCTGCAGGCCAGGGGACCCTCTTTAGGGGGGTCTCACCAGACTGCCTGCATCTCAGATGGCTGCTGAAGTGGCCATAGACACACTTTAATTTCATCGTAATCCACCTGAGTGCTAAATGACACCCCTCTCCCTACCCCACTGCCATGACAATGACTGCAGTGGACCATAAAATGAGCAAAAAGAGGTGGTGGCAAAATTCCCAGAAAAATCTCTGCCCGTCCTCAGAGGAGACATGAATATTTCTTTTATTAGCTGACCTCTCCCCCTCATTTTTTTTTTTTTTTTTTTTTTGTTTTGTTTTTTTGGTTTTTCTCTGGTACCGGGAACTGAACTCACGACCTTGCGCTTGCCAGGCAGGCGCTTTGCCGCTGAGCTAAATCCCCAGCCCCTCCCCCCCATTTCTTTTATCTTGTGTCAGCTTTCCATTACTGCAACAAAATACCTGATTTAAAAAGAAAACTACTTAGAGGAAGGAAGTTTGAATGTAGTTCACGGTTTCAGCAGTTTCAGTCTTTGGCCAGCTGGCTCCATTGCTTTGGTCCGTGCGGAGGCAGAGACATCATTTTGGAGAGGGGTGACAGAGGAGGTAAAGCTGTTCACCTGAGGGTGGCCCGGGAGGAAAAAGAGAGGGAGAAGGAGAGGGGGAGGGAGAGAGAGCCAGAGACGAGATGGGAGAGGGGCGGGGAGAGAATGCACTCCTGGCTTCCACAGTCTCCCCTCGGATTGTCGTATCACGTGCCAGTCATCTCTGGAAATGCCCTCACAGAGGCACTAGAAGAGTGTTTACTGATTTCCTCGGCATCTGTAAATCCAATCAAGCTGACAAAATTCGCCATCACAGATCCAGTACCTAGATATGTGGTACTGGTTATGTGGGTTGTCTTGTGGGCCTTTCTCTCTACCTGCACTATTCTCTGGCTAAGAATAAACCTCCCTTCTCTGCCCAGTCAGGACTTGTTGTCACTTACTGATTCTGAAATTCCAAAAGGAAAAAGGACCCAATTTAACATCAAAATTGGTAGTAGTTGTTCTTTGTACGTAGTTCTTTCTTTTCTTTCTTTCTCTCTCTCTCTCTCTCTCTCTGTCTTTCTCTTTCTCTTTCTCTTTGAGAGAAGGTTTCACTCTTGTTCAGTCAGTCTTAAATGCCCTGGATCAAATGATCTTCCTGCCTCAGCTTCTTAAGTACCTGAGGCTACAGGCCCATTACTCTAAACCACATTCTTAGATTTTTGGTTTTTTCTGGTACCAGGAAGTGAACTCAGGACCTTGCGCTTGCCAGGCAGGCACTTATGCCACTGAGCTATATCCCTAGCCCTGGGGCCCATTACTCTACCCCCAGCTAGTTACTGTTCTTTGATCTGGTCATGGCTGAGTTCCATTTCTGTCCTCAGTTGCTAAATCTATCTTGTGTTTAATGAACTAGGTGAAGGTGGCAACATTCTTTTTTTTTTTTTTTACTTTTTGGTACTGGGAATCCAACTCATGACCTCGCGCTTGCCAGGTGGGTGCTGTAGCGTTCTTTTTGAATATTTTCGTTAATCTACTCTATCTGACATTTGAAAGAGCACAGCAGGGGCTGTGGTTGTAGCTCAGTGGCTGCTTAGGATGCTCAGGGCCCTGGGTTTCATCCTCAGGACCTGTGTGTGTGTGTACATGTACACACATATACACATGTATAATGCATATATATGTACAGTGGTGCCTCAGCTCATGAACTTAACTCTTTCCAGGAAAGGGATGACCTTTTCTGGAATCATGTCTTCCTGTTGATATCACTGTATCTGCAGTGAGTTTTCTAAATATTAGACACCAGTGAATCACTGGGTACCACAGAGCCACAGCTGTGCATATGTGGCTTTCTGCAAACAGATGAGAATTCTTTGCTGTCCTCAGACGATGGCATTGACTCCTCCAAACCGACTGGATCTTGGCTTTGGGGCCCTTGAGACTCCAATTCTGGACAACCGCGTGGGCCAGGCTGAGAGCGGACACCCAGGTATTGAAGAGTCTGGAGAAAAAGGAGAAGCTCATCTTTTCTTCCTCTTTCTAAGCCCCGCCCAGAGCCAGAGAGAGGGACAGGTCTCCTCCACCCAGAGATTAGGACCAGGGATGTATGGGACAATTGTTCAGCCCTTCCCCAGAGGAGGGAGAGAAGAGGAGAAGGAGCAGGAAAATGCAGAAGAGCTCTGAGTAACTTTTGGACCTCTGGTGAGGAAGCTCAGGAACCTAATTTTCAGGCGTCTGTTAAAGATGCCAGGGGCTGGAGCTCTCGCTCATCAGCTCATTTTGCAGGCTGCGACATGCAAGAACCCTCAGTTCGGTTCCTGGCAGCAACAAGAACAGTGACAACTAATATTGTCAACCTACCCACCTCACCCCTCTCTAAATGGCTCCAAAGAGGGACAGAAAGGTCCAACTGATGTCCAATTGATGTTTGATGTCAGGTAGCAGACAACAGAAGCCCTGGCCTTTCTCACAGGAAGAGCAAAGCTACTAACACATTGGCGTCGTACACCCACCATGTAATCTTATCATTTATTATTAAAAACCTGCTTACTTTTGGCTTTGGTTCTATTTTTTCATTTTAAGTGAGTAAAAGTCAGGAACAGTTCATGGAGGAAGACAAAAAAGAGGTGATGTCTTTTAAACAGGAAGAGATATTTAACCTCACTCATAATTTAAAGAGTTAGGGCTGGGGATGTAGCTTACTGGAACAGCAACTGCTTAGCCCATGTGAAGCCCTGGGTTTGATGCCCAGCACTCAATAAATAAATAAAAATGAAAACTGAAAATCAGACTAAGCTCTACAATATTTAAAAAGAAGAAGAAGAAAATGTTACCTAGAATGACACTGAGATAACATTTTTCCCCTACCAGATTGGTAAAAATCCAAAGGTTTGATGGTAATACTGACAGTAACTCTGGAGGTTAGACTGGAGACATGGTTGGTGATGTTAAAGAAAAAGATATTTAGTGATGTTTGTTAAATCACAGTAGGGAAATTTTTCTTAGGCACCACTGTGATAGGTATTAGGGACCAGAGGCAGAGCGGTGGAGAGCTGAGGTTCAATTCTGAATATAGCACATGCAAGTGGGAATTTAAGGAACAGTGTGGAAGTCAAGACGCTGGAAAAGGGCTGGGGATTTAGCTCAGTGGCAAAGCACTTGCCTGGCAAGTGCAAGATCGTGAGTTTGGTTCCCGGTACGGGAGAAACACCAAAAAAAAAAAAAACCAAACAAAAAACAAAACAAAACAAAACAAAAAAACGCTGGAAAATTACTAAGGGGAAATGTCAGCGATAAGAGGTGAGTTGGCCCAACTGAGCTAACAGGATTCTTGCTGAAGACTGTTCTGACTGATCACACGTCACCCTCACCTGCCTATCACCTGGGGAAAGGTGCAGGGTGAGGAACCTGATCATATATCAAAGCTGATCAGATGTCTAGGATGGAGATTTCCGGCTTAACTGACTCAGTGGGAGTCTTGTTAAAACTAGATTTTACAAGGAAGCACATAGATGACCTTAGAAGAAGATTTAGGAGCCCAACTAAAGTTCCATCAGGCAGAGAATCTTTGTTAAGGACAAAATGACACGATTTTTATGGAAGGTAGTTTGATAACAATTCACAAAAATGTATGTGTATTTCTCTCTTGACCTGGAACTTCCTTTTCACGAATTTAGAAATCGGAATTAGTGGTTTCTTCTCCACTTACACAAAACAAAATTCACATGAAGTGCTCCTATTCAAAGCGTGGTCTGTGTTCCAGTAAGATTGATCAGAGGCAAGCCTGTTAGAAACGTCCAGGATCGGGCATTTCTGCGGAATTGAAATCTGCATTGTAACAACACCTCCAGATGATTTGTTTGTGCATTGAAGTTTGAGATGTGCTGCACGAGGTTACTTCCAGCAGCATCATTTGCAATGACACGAGACTGAAAACG